AACAACAACAACAACAACAACAACAACAACAACAACAACAACAACAACAACAACAACAACAACAAAAAATACTAAAGCTTGCAATAAGGGTAGAAAATAAAGTACTAAAAAGTTTAAAATAAATATAATATTTACAAGGTCCAAAAGAAATATATTAAACAACAACATGTTAGAATATAATGGTGCAAGTAGGATGAATTTGTATGAATAAGTATTTCACAGGTAGTAATATAGGCTGGAACGCACATGATATATATTGCACATAACTAACACATACAAAATCTAGTTAAACAAATCTAATGATCTAATCTAATAATCTATAATAAACAAATCTAATTGTATTTAAAAATGAACCCATTGGTGGGCTGAACTTAACACACTCGTGGCCTGATTTGGCCCCCGGGCCGCCAGCTGAACAGCCCTACCCTACTGCATCTGTGTGGCTCACTTTGAACCTCAGCTGATTTATGTGCAACGTGTAAAAATAAAGCACAGTAGTTTAGATGTTTTAAAAGAAATGGACAAATAATTTGCCGTTCAACTCTAAACTTCTGCTACAGATAAAACAAGTCACTCAGATTCGTACCTAGATGGAGGAGGAAATATGCGAGTATGTGTTTGTCTGAGCCGAGCAGCCATCTGGAGCTCCTCCTGGGGTTTGATAACAACATGTGAACAACACCATGATAACATGAGCACACACGCTGCGTTGTGATTGTGTTTGCTCACTGGGCATTGTTTTCTTCTGAAGCACCACGGTGACGCAGCGTGTATCACGCTGAAGTAACACCAACTTCAAAATATGATTAAAAGGTATCAGATGAGATGGGTAAAGGCCTGAACTGTGTCCATAGCAACACACATCGATACCATTACTGAGCAAGTCGTAAGAAAACCCAGAAATAAATGTACTTTTGACCTACCTGGTATACATTTCATCTAGTACGAGAATCTAACTCTTAGTTTGTTAGATGAGTGTTTACGTACCTGCGGGGGCTATTGTGAGGGAAAGGAATGACAATAAGCTGCGAGTTGGGAATGATGGCTGTCCACTCCTGCCTCCTGATGTCCTGAAAATAGAGACAAATCTCATGAGGGGCAAGGCTTGACGAATGCAGATTTCTATCTCATACACACACAGACACGCACAGTTTAATAACATATGTTGCGTCTTCTGAGAGTTAGGAATGTTTCTTACAGCTACTGCAGAGTTGCTCTTTTTAGCTGCACATTTAAGACACAGCCAACCTGCTACATAAAAGATAAAGTGACAGCAATGGTGTGTGTATAAGGTAGTCCCTTGATGCTTCCTGATCAACTTACGCAGGATCACTCTTTCGGGGTTTTTAATGTGAGATTGTCCACGACCCATGATTGGCTGATTGATGGAAGGCAACCAAAGAGAGCATTGTGCTGAGGAGTGGACTGGCTATCGGGAGCGCCGAGACACTTCCCGGTGACCTGGCCCGCTCAATGATCGCCAAGAGGACCCCTCCTTTCTCTTTCTGAGACTGTCTGTCAGCAGAACAGAGACACACAAGAGGCGGGCGCACAACCTGTTGTGTGTCTCCGCTTTGCTGTGACAGAAAGCCTCAGAAAGAGAAAGGAGGGGGCAGGGTGGGGTCTGTCTTTCCCCATCGCTGCTGTGGGAGCCGATACCAGAGTGAGCGGCATGGATTGTTTATTTCAAATAATCAAGCACGACCCGAACCGAGGGGAGTGGTGGCGCAGAGGTTAGAGAAGGTGGGCCTGTGATCGGAAAGTCGCTGGTTCAACTTCCGATACCGACCACATCAAAATGTGGGTGGGAAAGGTGAAACATCCACACCTGCCTCCACCATCATTTGCCCCACTCTGGGCCCTTGAGCAAGGCCCCACCATCTGCTCCCCCGGGTGCCCTAGATGGCAGCTCTCTGCTTCACACAGAGGGGTGTGGTAACTCGGTGGTCTGTGGTGTCGTCAAGAACGGCATCCGACGTAAAAACAATTGTCAAGTCTTCGTGCGAGTTAGTTCGCTGTGGCGACCCCTGAAGAAGGAAGCAGCAGAAAGAAAGACAAAAAGAAGCCCGACCCGAACCGAGCCTCAAGTCCCCCTCAATCACAGAGCGAGCCAGCCCACTGGGAAATGTCCTGGTGCTTCTGATGGCCAGTCCGCCCTTGGGCGCTGATTGGCTCAGTAACCGTAGCATCAGTCTGTTTGCTCTCTTTTGCTGTGCTCTTTTAGAGCGTTTAGAGAGTTTAGAACATTGTTAAGAACATTGCAAGAGTGTGGGAAGGGTTAAGAAAGCCTTAAAATATATATAAACACTAAAGTAAATATAAAGTCGCTACTTTGTGGATTTTCACCTAACGTGGGGTTGTCTCAAACGTAACCCCCACGATAAGTGAGGGACTACTGTATAGCTCTGTATATAAGTATGATTAAGTATTTCTATGTCAGTCTGTGTGAATTCAGCCACCAGGCAGAAGTATGTAATGATCTGACTCGTCGTCTCAACAATATAAACTACATTTAAAGCCAAATTTTGAATCAAAACCCATCACTGAGGAGCTTACACTTCATCTGATAACACAGAGGAAGCTGACATGAAAACAGCAGAAGAAAAGAGGGGACTGACCGTACAGCTGCAACATTTTCTGGACAGTGTTTATCTTTAAGGATGTGCTTTCTTTTTAACCTCAACTACTTTTTGTATTTTATGTAACAGTGAGTGAATATACACAGTGACAGTGAAGAAAATGATCACATTGGACGACAAGCATCACTGTCACTTTGCAGTCTCTGGGGACTCAGGACTGATGGCACCGACACAGAACCGTGTGGGCATTGACAGAGCTCCACTGACAGGCCTCTCACTCTGCTGTGGAACTTCATTAAGTCTGATAAGTTTCACTCGGAGACGAGATTTATTCTGAAAACGCAGACAGTCACCACCTGCCACACCTGGCCAAGGCTAAAGGACCTGCAGCTCTGTGTCTGAGCTGGGATCAGAGGGCAGGAGGAGCAACTTGTTCCTTTTTATTTTCCCTTAACTGGACTGGAAACGTGAAATGTTTTACTGTGTACACATGCTCTTACAGCATGTGGTGTGGTTTCTAAGTTCCAAAAACATCTCCCTCCAGATTAACACTTCATGAAAACAGTAAAATAATGTAACTGTGTGCAGGCCTTTAAAAAAAGACAAATGTTAGAACTGAAGAAAGTATCTTGACAGAGGTAGAGGAGTTAAAAAGATAACAAAAAAAAAATCAAAGTTCAAACAGCTTGGAAGAACATGAAAGCATTTCTCTTGATTGAATTGAGACGTGTGTGGGATCTACATGACGAAACTGACCACGAGAGCCTAAACTGACGACAGCTTGACTTTAGTTTTAAGTTTCCTTGTAACTGTTCAGCACTGGGGACGGTAACAACTGCAGTCATCTTCATAGAAAATTGATTTTATGATCAGAAAATCCCACCATCGTCTTCACCACTTTTTGTTGTTCTTTTTGGTCCACATTTTACGACAGATGCTATCTGAAGTGAGCTCAGCACTAGGATTATTTGAAATTAAGAGATTAGAGATTTTAAAGACCTAGCATGTCTTGAAAAAACATGTATTGCTTGCTGCATCTCATAGTTTGAGACTAAAATCATTTTATGATGATAAAAGGAGGGAGTTGATGATCTCATGTGAAATATTAAAAGGTGTCCAACAAAGGTCAGTTAGATCATCTGGATGGTTTCTTTTTTTTGTTGAGATGTTTCGTCCTTCATCCAAAGGACTTCATCAGTCCGAGGAGACACAAACAAACTCAGTCCCACTAGCAACACATTCCCATAGTGGACCAACCAGTTTGATGGTGATAAGATGATTCTTGGAGTCCACCCTCTCCCCAGATGACCTAACTGTTTGATTTTTTTTACCTAGATTATGGAGCATGAACTTTGATGTTTTGAACCACTTTGGCTATGGTTGCCTCAGAGGAGTCGATGGGGGAGAGGGTGGGCCCCAGAAACCATCTTATCACGAGCAAACTGGTTGGCCCACTACGGGAGTGTGCTGCTTGTGGGACTCAGTTTATTTGTGGCTCCTCGGACTGATGAAGTCCTTTGGATGAAGAACGAAATGTATCAACAAACAAACAAAAAAAGAAACCATCCAGATGACCTAACTGAACTTTGTTGTTTTTTTAAACCTGGATTAATGAGCACGAACATTGATGTGTTGATTGATGAGGTGTGTTAATGCTCAGAGCATGTGTTGAGGGTGACTCTTGGCTACCACCAATCTTTAGCTCAATATTTGTAAAACTGACTGAGTTGTAGCCATTTTTGAGCTGGCTAATGCCAACAAGCTATGGTGGCCATTTTGAATTAGGGTGGCTTTAAAAGTCAATCAAATGTAGAAGTACATCCAGTGATTACTTTGAGTTTCATGGTAAATTCTGCCAACTTGCACACACACAGGGACAGCTACATGAAGACCCTTTCGTCCCTGGTGGTGAGCAATAAAGATCATGTCTGGAATTTAAGACCATCGTAATGTTTGTAGCAGGAGGAATTTGAAATATTTCCAGTCAAACGGCTGGCAGAATGTGAAAGTGCCATTGCTTTTTAATTCTGACTCACAATTCCTCATTAATTGAGAGGGACTACATCTCGCAGCTATTTTGAATAAGCATGCAGAGATGGCATTGCTTTTTTACATAACAGGCACATTCTCGCCGCCAGCCATTGTCGCTTAGCTCTTGGAAAGCACTGCCATCCGTGTGGCAACCGATGAGGGAGCGACGTTGGAGGCGAGTCAGCCTCCGCTGCCTGGGAGCAGATCTGATCTGGCTGTTTGGAAGAGGAAAATACTCCCAACTCTTCAGAGAGAAGGAGAGATACTCTGGTTCAAAGCCAGGGAAACTAGCACACCATGAGAGAGAGCTGAGGGAGACAGATGCAGAGATGGAGGGTGAGAGTGACAAGTAGGGGACTGATTAGTGAAGTAAACCACTCTGAGCAGCAAAGGGAATCCCCTGGGTGGAAGATAAGTGAACGGGCGGAGAGACACTCACAGAGAAAGATGAGGAGGAGAGTAATAAAAGACAGGAAGGATCGGACAGAAGACAGAAGATATCCAAGAGGAATTTAAAGAAACTCTCCTTCTGTGACACAGCAGGAATAAACTCTTATTGCAGAGGAGACATTGTAAAGGACGCAGCAGGGGAGACAGCAAGATGACAGGACACAAGCAAGGATAAGGAAAAAAAATTAGAACGATAGCTGAAGAAAAATGATACACAAAAACATCTAAACTTGCCAACAGAGTAACCTTTGTTTTCTTTATTACCGAGCTTTAAGCTTTTTAAAAAGTATTACTAGTTTAATGAAGTCCCTCTCTTTTAAAACCATCAGGGTATAAATAAAAGTCCACTTTGCAGAATGGGTTGCATCTTTAGACATCCATTAAGTCACTTTGTAGAAGAAATGGGCAGAGGGGAAGAAAAATGAGATGTAAATATATAGAATGCAGAGGAGAGACCGTAAAGCAGCCTGTCTGAGTGGTGTGTTTGTGGTGCACTACAACTTCTGAGTCGCGGGGCGAGCCATCTGCAATTCTAATCAGCTGCTTGACGAAGACCTCGGTGCCACGCGGGAGGGGGGAAAAAGGGCTCTGTTGTGCCTAATATTCAGAGTGACAAGTGCACCGGGAGAGAAAACAGAGATGGAGATGAATGCTGAGATTGTGAGAGAGCTGAACTGAAGAGAGATGGAATTTGAGGAAGTAAAGTGGAGAAATGTGGGCGATGAATACGTTTACAAAAACCAATAGACTTTTTTTTAACCATATAACATTAGCTTGTGTGGCAGGAAGCACACAGCGGCTGTATCCTCAGAAACATTCAAAACATTCATACATTATGTCCTCGAAGGTTTGTTAAACAAACATGTGTTTTAGGTCTTACAAAATATTAATGTGGGCATTTCTGCTACGAGTGGGAAATGCTATGAACAATTTCATGCAGCTCTGTTTAACCATTTAGCCATATACAGTTTCTACCTGTTAGCTGCTATCATTCTCAACCCCTCTTTGCATCATAGTCTGAAAAATAAGCCTCTCTAACTTTAACCTTGTCTGTAATGAGACACAGAACCCCCCAACAATGATTATGGTATAAAATTAGAAAGAAAAACAAAATGACTAGAGCAGTAATTTAAACCATGTTTACCTAAAACACACAGATTAGCTCAAATTAGCTAAACATGTCAACTTGACAGCTTTTTCACATTTTCTTTTCAGCTGCTGTAATTAGCATATAATTTTGAACACATTCTTAGACATCTGACACTCGCTATTACATATTTTCTTTTATAAATAAGTACTGAAAATAAAGGGGATCCCAACCGAGCATTTAAAGAAACGGTAAAATTAGGATTTTCCAGCAAGATGTATCCGTTTCTCCTCTTTCATACCAACTTCTAAAATTTCACAACTCTGTTACAGTCAGTTCATAAATAAACCGAAGCAGGAGCACCTAGGTGTGTGTGGCTTTGAACTCCTAAAATTGTTATTTTGTAGCATTAAACTAAACAGTCATGTAAACATGATTGTTTTTCAGTTGAAGCGACTGCCTAAATGAAGCCCATACTGTCCAAAAGTAACCTTGAAACAGTAATACATGTTTCATAACATCCAGAATCGATTACTGCAATGCACTTCTTTTTGGAATCAGTCAGACCTCTATTGCACGATTACAACTGGTCCAAAATGCTGCAGCTCGATTTTTAACTGGTACAGGCAAAAGAGAGCACATTACACCAGTTTTGGCCTCCCTTCACTGGCTCCCAGTTCACTTTCATTTTAAAATCCTTCTGTATGTTTTTAAATCTCTGAAGAGTTCTGCCCCCTCTTATCTTGCTGATCTGCTGCAGCCATATGTCCCACAGCGCTCTCTGAGATCAGCAGATCAGATGCTTTTATTGGTTCCAGGCACTTGTTTCAAGCTCAGAGGTGACAGGGCTTTCTCTGTTGCAGGTCCAAACCGTGGAATGAGTTACCACTTTATGTCAGGCAGACTCCCTCTCTCAAGGTTTTTATGTCTTGCTTAAAAACACACTCTTATTCCCTGGCTTTTTATACTGTGAGAGTTGATTTTAACTTGTCCATTTCTATACTGTTAGCCATTTAGTTCTTATCTTTATCTATTTGGATCTATGTTTTTATCCTCTGTACTTTGCTTTTTTATTTTTTGCCGTACAGCACTTTGGTTGGCTTTGTTGCTGTTTTAAGTGCTTTATAAATAAAGCGGTATGGTGTGGTAAGTTTTTGATTCTTGGTATCATGTCCTGCTATGTTTCTTCTGTCATGCAGTTTCTTTCTTACATAAACATTAAGTGACCGAGACAAATCAGTCATATAGTGTTAAAACTGAACAGTTTTCAGAATTATCTAATTCAGCATTAAACTTTGTTTTTCATTTAACTTTAAAACAGATGGTTTGGGAGTTTCGTTTTTTAACTTTGTTGAAGTTCCCTTATTCTTTTTCTCAGTCTGCTGCAACACACTCCCTAACACTAACACTAACACTAACACTAACACTAACACCTTTGTCAATTAAACTTTCTCCAATTGTTCTACTCTAGAGCTGGACTGATTTGTGAAGAAGCACGATGACGATTCTTGAAAACGAAGCCCGCTATCTTCAAACGCGTCTCCTCACCGTGTTTCCAGGCTCCCTGGGAATTCCAACAAACAGGTGATCCAGGAAGTTAGCGCTGCGTCCGAGACCCAGCACCGTGTAGGGCAGCTGCAGGGAGAAATGAGCGGACTGGCTCAACTGACCAGCTGCAGGGAGAGAGACAGGACAGACGGTTGAATGATTAAAACAGGAGGTCATTTTTCAATGAAATAATAAATCTGCATTCAACAATTTCCCAACAGTCGAATGGATTGTTCTCAACTGTGTCAAGAAAATCGACCAAAAACAGAAAATTCATACAGACATTTGTTTTCAGCACAATCGCCGAGTCACTTCCAGATGAATGGAAGTTGGCATCTCTGTTGTCATGACCATCACAAGTCCACCTTTTAATTTGATCAGTACTTTGACATCTTCTCAAACACTTGGAAAACAAATTCAGGCCCATTTTTTGTTTATTAAATCATTGGCAAATGTTAAGTGTGCAGGCAGACTGTTAAATGAGGGGATACTAGATCTATTTAGTTGTTGCAGATAATGCATCTGGAGTGGTACTGAATCATTATGATGCATTTGAAGTTGGTTTAAATGTGAATTTTATGATAACAAAACAAATTAGAATTTAGTTTCATAACATAATTTCAACAAAAAGCTGCCAAATCTTGATTTTGCCTAAGGTTTCTCTGAAAAAAAAGACAATACTACTAAATTTCAGGGTTCTGGGAATTTTCTCTTTAGTAGAATGTACGAGGCGATTTAAAAATATAACTTTAAATTGTTAAACACACCTTTCCTCATCGGACTGTCGCGGCTGGTGAGAGCACTCTCACGGGGCAGAAAGGAAGCGGCGCTCAGCTGTATAAACTCTGATGTTAATGTTACACGTCTGTGGGTTGTGTCTGTGTTTTTTCAGGCACTTAAGTCTAATTGTTATGAAATAAACATGAAGATTTGGTTCTCATGGCTCTGATTTACTGCTTTCCTGCTAATTTTGGTGCATTGTTAATTTTACCTAACTGCGGCTCACAGTGCAACATTAGGTTTATGGGTGGTGATAAATATCTATAATAAAATTAGAAGGTTTACAAGTTATTCAAGAGACAGAAAATAACAGGACATTACACTGACAGACAGGTGGATGCAAGAATCTTCATAAACTGCTTAGTGTATATTTAGTTGATGCTTTTCTTAGTTAATATCTTGGATGTTATCATTGTTTTTCTTTTACATTTTATTGTTGGATGTAACTGGGACCCTGTGTACATAATTTCGCTCCACCACATGTACCACATGAGGTGCGAATGACAATTAAGAATCTCTGACTCTGAAACTGGACCAGTCAGAAATACTCAGCCCTGCAGAAAGTACCGGTACCTCATAAAGTTATATGACCCCAGTGGTTCTGGTTCTTGTGGCCTGAGATCTTAATTTATTCATGGGGAAAAAAAAAACAACCACATTCTCATAAATACATGAACTAACTCTGAACATGTCAAAGATGTATGACATACAAATTATGTAACAATTCTTACCTTCTCATAGGTTGTTCCAACTTTTAAATTTTACATTTTAAGCACCAGCTCTGGATTCACATCGGACCCTATTCACTCTTTCACTTGAGTATTTTAAATAAATGACAAATTATTACAGCTAAAAATGAGTTGTCTTCTAAATATAAAAGTGCAACACATCCTCTAATTTGACAACATTTTCCCTACTTTCAGTCAAAAATTTGTATCTCACCAAACTACAAATAAAACCCTAGTTTGCTTTGCTTGCAGGGTAATTTTCCCAAAGGGATCATTTAGGAATCATGTTGTGTTTTGACAAAAGTTATAATTTACCTCATTTAGGACAAGAGTAAAAAGACAAACATTATTAAACAATAAGAAGAGGACGAGAACCAAACACACAAGACTGAGCCAGCGCACCGCCAGTGTGAGACCTTGTGTTCTGACGCAAAGAGGTTTCATAAAAGATACAAATCTGAGTGAAACACCTGAGGCCTCCACAACACCTCACCCAACTTCTCACCTCCTCCCCCTCTCTGTAATATCTCCCTCCTCATGTGCTATTCTCATCCAACCCCTCAGTATTTTCTTTCTTTCTTTTAGCTCCTCTCTATCTCCGTTTTCCCTGGTGCATCGCACTGATTTGGCCTTTTGTTTCTCCTTCTTTTCCTCCCTCGTCATCTCCTCTTACTCCACTTCAGCTGCTGCAGATCGCCCACGCCACCCAACTCTGCCAAATGCAGCCGACATAAATCAACCTCTATGTGGTAAACAAAAAGAGGGAAAAAGCGAGGGAAGGGTAGAAGAGGAGAGCGAAAGCCTCGAGGCAGCCAGTGATCAGAACTAATGTGGATGGACTGCATACTGCAAACCAGGAGAAGCACAAAACGATTTAAACATTTGCTTCTCTTTTCTTCCAATCCATGCCTAGGTCAGGTGGCAATAAGATTTATTCATTTATTGTCACCTGAACTTGGCTCATGTCAATTCACCTCTTTGCTGGTCAGTGTAACTTTGTAAAAGTTGTTTGATGCACACCAAAATCTGCCACTTAGCCTTAAGAACCAGAGGTTCTTACCAGAGGTACAGATTAATCAGAAAGGCATTAATTGTGTAGATGCACAAAGCATTCACCTTTTTTTTGTTGCTAATTTCCAGTTTTTGTGATTCTTTCAAATAATTTTAACTGTTTATGCTCCTTTCAGCCTATTCCTGGCAATTTCATTTTTTTTTTTTTGCCTTTTTGGCTCCCTTTATATTGGATTTATATATATATATATATATATATATATATATATATATATATATATATATATATATATATATATATATATATATATATACTAATTTCAGCTTTTCCCCACTTATTTCAATTTCTTCTTTGCTAATTTCAGATTTTTAAAATCTATTTAGCCTCTTTCTGCCTATTTTAGCTTATTCTACCTTTCTGCTCGATTCAGCTTTGTCTATACATTTGTGCCATTTTCTACTGCTTTTTAGTTTTATTTTCCTGCTTTTAGCAAATGTCAGCTGTTCAAATTCAACTCAAGTTCAAGTTTAAGTTCAATTTTATTTACTGTTATTTGCATCACATCTAGTACATGAGGTGGAACAAAACTGTGTACACAAGTTCCCAGTTACATCCAAAAATAGCAAAAACAAATGTATAAAAAGAAACAGTTAATAAGGATCTACGATATACACTAAGGTATAAGCTAAACAAACACTAAACAATATGCTAAAAGAGCTAAGATATACGCTAAACACTAATAATGTAAAAATAATATGTTATATTAAACAGCAGCCCGAATGAGTCTGTAGTGCAGGGGTCACAAACGCGGTCCCCGCGGGCACCTGGTCACCTGGTCACCTGCAGGGACCTCTTGATTCACCCGCGGGGCATGCTCTAAAAATAGCATTCATCATCAAGGAGCACCACGTTAAAATAGTCATTAATTATATTTTAAAATTTAAGAAATAACATTTGCAAGGACGTTTATTTGAAATGAAAATGATTAATATATATATTTTTAAATAAATAGTTTTATGTATACAATTTTAACAATGTTGTCTGGGGTCAAAGTTCAGAACCATGCGTAGACTACTCCCATCTCTTCAGCGGTGCAGCTACAAGCTAGTTTTACCTCCCAGAGGGGAAAATGGCAGAAAAACATAATAAAACATATGTTCACAGTGATTGGGAGGAAAAAGTCGTTCACAGTGTTGAAAGACAAGTGTGCCTGTGTGTCATTAGTGAGGTGTGGCGACAGCAAAACACAACGTGGAGCGACACTTCATCTGCTAACACGCTAGCTTCAGTGCTAACTAGCTCCCTGGTGGTCACAACAGACTGAAGGCAGCTTTGAGCAGGCAGATGTTTTTCATGAGGCATTTTCAGGTGTGGAGCTCTTGAAAGAAGCAAGGATGAAATATGTGAAAAATCATTTATTTAAAAAGAGTAAAAGATGCAATGATTAGTTAAAATGATTTTATATGCACAGCACTTTGTTGCAGCTGTTGTTGTTTTAAGGGGCTTTATAAATAAAGTATTATTATTATTAGAAATGCTGCAGATTTGAGGATCAATACTAATGTCACATGATTCATTTAAAAATGTTAGTTTGTTTATTATATTACATTACTGATATTTTGTATCTGCAAGAGCTAAGAGTTATTCTGAAATGTTACAAATACAACAGTTAGAGCCAGCAGGGCTTGATTGGAAGATTTTATTCTTAATAGGTTCTTAAAAAAAAACCTACAGATTTGTTAATAGTAAAAGGCATATTTTGAATGAATGTTACAAATGTGTTCATTCCTACAAAACAGTTAATAAAATATTTATAAAATACACTGAATTTCAAATGTTACAGATTGAGTTTAACTTAAAACAGTGTTTTATGTTTAAATATCAGTTAAGTCATCCATTATGTCCCCTTTGTTTAGGACTGGAACCAATCTCAGCTGCTTTTGGGTGAAGGCAGGGGACAGCCAGGACAGGTCTCAAGTCCATCACAGAGACAAAGAACCATCCACACTCCCAGTCACAGCTAGGAACAATTTACAGTTGCACAGAAGAACCAAAAAGGAATTCAAACTGGGGACTCAAGTTCTAGATTGAGAGTTCTAATCACTAATTATCAATAATAATTGATCATATTTATCAAGCTAAATCCTTACTGATAATCATTGTGTGGAGTCTTTAATTATACAGATCAGATCAGATGTGATCAGGCCGTTATGCATTCACATGTATGTAAATGTATTATTATTAATACTATAATTAAAGGTGAGCCGTGCAAATTTGTTTGGATCGAACAAGTAGCCTTTCGTGTCTCTCGGTCCCACTGAAGTAGCTCTCAGTCTTAAAAAGGTTGGTGACCCCTGCTGTAGTGAGTAGATGGCAGTTTTCTGGTCAATCACCAATCACGATCTCTAAAAAGCCTGACCTGCCGATTCCGATTTTGGCCAATAATGATTTTGTTTTCTAAGCGACACTGTCAGTTGTTATAAAGTCACAATGCACCTTCAATTTTCCAATCTTATTTTATTGAAAAACATACCCTTGAACAATATCCTAGAAACAATCCAAACTTGTTTTAACTGGTCACGAGGTAGTGCTCTGAAATATAAAT